AGCGGCCATCGATCACGGAACCGTCCCTCCGAGTGTCCCGGGACCCGGTGATCCTCTCGGAAATCTCTCGGCGAGGGTCGATTGGATCGTTGGGAAGCCAAGGAATCTCGGAGGATCGCTGACTCGGGATAAAACATCGTCGTGTCGTTCGATCGTGGAATAACTCGCGAGCAGCTCATGGCAAAGGATATTCTCGCGGATTTCTCGCGCTGGTTTCACGGCCGTGCGAAACAATGAAGAATCTCGCGGCAAACAGGTGTGACAATGGCATCGCCGGTTTAATCTCGAGCGACGCTCCGTCTCAACGAGTTTGACACCGGGTTGTCACGGAACGCTGTTGGAACGAATGAAAGAGGCTGAACGAGATCTTACATGTCCGTCGATTCTCCAGTGAACGGGAAACCACACGGCTCGACACCACTCTCTCTCCCTTTCTCTCTCTCTGCACGCTGGTCGTGTGATTCAAATGGAATTAAACGCACTTTTCCCAGCCCCGTCGGTGTGCCAACGTTTCCATTGCACGTTTACACGCAGACAGTCAGGGCACACTCGCGAAAAGGTCGCGCAGCGGCACGCCGCCATTTAATTACGCCTTGAAAAGGTTGGTAGGCAGACAGGTTGGCAGGTCTGTAGGTTGATACAGAGCGGTAAAGGCCGAATGTATACTTACTTCCGTCCTTGCGGACTCTGGCCTCCGTACCTCCTGGCTGCTTTCGCCCAGTGCAAACATGGATATGAAAGGTTCAGCTTTTGCCCCTTTGGCAAAAGCCTTCCAGGACCTCCGGTCCCCGGCTGTCTTTCCGTCTGACTGCGATTCCGGGATGGCTGCGATAAAATTTGCTCTTCTCTCGTGACGTCGAGAGAGATTACAGTTATCCTGACGAAGCCACACGGCCATCATGCAAATTGAAACTGTTCCCTCTGCCTCTCTCCCTTTCTCTCTTCCTTTCTCTCTCCTATCATCCGACTTGCTCACCCTTGTCGTTCCTCCTCTTCCTTCTCCTTCCTTCTCCTCCTCCTCCTCCTCCTCCACCTCCTCTTTCTTTGTAAATATGTAAATATCTTTGACGATTTTCTCTGCCGCAAAGCAGTTTCGTTGTATTACCGTCTGTTTATTGTGACACTCGCGCAGAGTCGCAATTAATTTGGGCCTCGAGTGTCACCTGTCTACCGTGTCCCTTTTGTGGTCGTTTGATGACTGGTCTTCGTACTTTGCTCCGGTTGCCGTCGGTTTCCTCGTCCATGGTCGTTTCATCGTTCACCAAAAAGATACCTCCTAATCGCGTGTCCAGGGATCGAACCTCGACGAACTTTGGCTCGGGGATTTTGCTCCGCGAGACTCGAGAGGAAATTCTAACGTCTTCCCCGATCCGCTTGGCTAAGCAAGGGTACAGAACCATGATCGATCCGCGTGGAATCACACGGACGCGTATAAATTTTTGTCCGCATCGGTTCACATTCCGGCTCGCTTTTGCGTCACAGCCGTGCTGTACGTAAGGTCGACGAGGAACCGAATAAGAAATATGATTTCGAGGCATGCCAAGCGGAAGATATTCGACATTTGTGGTGCCCGTTTCGAGCGGAGCCTAGCATTATGGGATTATCATTACGCGTGGCAAATATCTATTATAGGGCCTGCACGTTTCTGCCACGACATCCGGGAATATCGGTTAAGGCGATTACAATTCGTGACTACCTGTGCTCGGATCTCCTTTGTCGCAATTCCGACGAAACGATGACGAGGGAACCCATAACGAGTGCCATCGCGGTTCATTCGGCCCTTTCGAGTGGTACCCCCGTGACGTAGTTCTCCTCGCATCTGCAACAGAAAGGAATAAAAATGAAATATATGTTCGCATATTTCAAACGCCGAAGAAAGCAGCGTCGATCGATTGACGAGAATCAAAAATCGCAAAAGTTTCATTTCTCAACCCCTAAAAGGGCTTCCGTTGACTCGGTTCGAGCCTTGTCCGCTAGTGCTTCCCGATCGAGGAGATGCTGACATCTGGACGCCCGGCAGGGTAGGTTTCCTCGCTTGGTGGATAGAAATAGGGGTGGCATTCGGTCGATAATTCAGGCAACGCACCCTCGGCGTGTCCACCAACCCCTGGCCTTAGTAACAACCGGTAAAGTCCCGCGTTCTCGGTATTCCCGGATTTATAACCGTGGCACGTTAACTCTCCGACGATCTAGAGATCCCTAATCAACCGTTGGTATCTACGGAAATCTTTCCAAGACATCTCTCGCTATTGATCGAACAGCTATTATCTTAGCCCGATAAGGTGAGAATTCTATTTTCGTCCTGAATTTCGTCGCATTTCGTTCGAATAACGAGAATTCCTTCTCCGTGGATACTTAAGGGGTTGAAATCGGAAATGGCGAAGGTAACTCGCCCGGTTGTCACTGTCGGACGAAAGAAACGTTGGACTATTTACGCACCCCTTCGCGAATGGTGCCCGATAATTTACCCTCGTTTCGTCCCTACGCGGAGAGAGGAAAAGCGGAGAGAGAACGAAAGTCGACGGTGTATAAGAACGGGAACTGCCGCGAGATATTCGCAGGTACCCTCCGAGTGCGTTCGTCCCGGCACAAAATGGAGGCGCGATATAAACGTAAGAGCGGAGGCAGAGGAAACTGTTTGGGATAACTGCCGGCCAGACTTAATGGGAACCTAAGAATAAATTTATGTCGGGCGGCCACTCAAAATGCTAATGCGGCCGCGAAATATTAGCACGGGAAGT